CAAAACCATTATACCCTGATTTCCCATTTTCAATGGGTTCAGGGTATAAAAATAGTTTAGAATTCATTGCAATAATTTTGTATAAGAAATTAATACACTCATAAGGAACATTAAATTTAAATTGAAAATTGCAATAAATAAAATGAACATGGTAAATTTTTAAATTTTTATTTATTTTTAACTAAAATAATGTTATTGGAAACGGAGAACTTGGATGTGCATGTACATAGATATATTTGGCGCAGTGTGCCAAAGTTAATAGTCCAATTATATATGAATATATATACATATATGTAGACAGTTGTTTGTTTTGCGCTTCTGTTTAACTAAGCATATCATTAAGAGATCTTGAGACGGCTAATGCGAGTGCTTGGTCGACCTTGATTCGGTGATCAAGGCAACTAGAGCAAGCTGAAACTAGTTTCGACCTAAAGATGAGCTCTATTCAATAATATGCATAATTGTACATGAATATATATGCATATGTATACGTACGTATGCATGTATATATGTGGGCCAGGCTGGGCTAAAGGTCATTATAGTATTTCCGATTTCAACTGTATTTATTTTGAATCAATAAAAACTTTGATGCGTCATACTAAAATGAAAAATGGACCCAGCGAAAGCGCACAATAGCCTATGACATGTTCAGAGATAAGGTAAAAACGATCAGGGTATAGAAATATACTTGTGTATGTATATAACTATAAATTCTTAGTATATGTTTAAATATAAGCTTAATATATCTGAAAATTAAAAATTTAAAAAATACCAATATTTATATTTAGAACTAATTTCAAACAGTTTAGAGCAATATGTTTCTGGTCTAGAAACTTGTACAGACATATGATTCAGCCATGATATATGATATGAATGTACATGCATATATATTCCTATTTATCATATATCATGTGTTTAACGACACTGAACGATTAGCTATGCCAAATGGGCCGTTTTAATCATAGAAACCTCACATTTAATAACAGATGTATATTTAGTATATATGTATGTATAAGAAATTTAGAGTGAGTAATCCACCACCAGCAATCCAAGCACCCCACGCCCACCCCCACCCCCCTTTGCCCCAACCACTTTCTTACGAAATATGCAAAAACTTAACTGTAAGATAAGCAAACAGACTTTACAGCGAAATTCCGTTTGTTGCTTAAATCACGTGTTGCGAATAGCAACTAGACTAGTCTATGTAGATAAGCAGGTGTGTGTGGGGGTGGGGGTGTGTTTAGGCAGGCAAAAACAGCACTAGAAACGGGAAAACTTCTGGTATACCACCATAGAGATGATACACACATGCATACAAATAATTGCCACTGCTAATGAGATATTCTAAATAAAACATATTTGTTCGATTTCATTTCGTTTTTATTATATTCAAATAAATAATCAAAATTAAAAATCACTTTTATTAATCTAACATACAAAATGTATTTTCATAAATATTTAAGATTTGCTTGCTTATCGTTTGATCGTGCGTGCTTTCGACTTGCGTGCGGTTCGTGTTGGCTAAACTTGGCACAAGCCCATCTCTAGAATAGCTGCAAAAAGCAGAAGGCGTGCTCTTACAGCAACAAAAATAAAAATAAGTAACGGTTGCTAGAATACAACAACTACAACAACTACATGGCAACGAAACGCCCCAAGGAACCGGCAAAAAACGAAAGCAAAAGCAACAATAACAGCAACAACAACAATTGCTACAACTACAACTACAACAGCAACTAGTATAAGACGACAACATGAAAAATCGTACGATTTTCGCTGCTTTTGTCTTCACAGCTAAGTTGGCAGAGACGCCTTCGGCGCTGACGTTAACAGCGACGTTGGCGCCGGGGCATCGTGCGAAACTATGACAGATAAAAGAGGCCCCAGCAAAAGAAAGTACATATATCGATAATATGAAACGTGTGACTATCGACATCCTCGATGGCTCAACTTGGTCAAGTGCAATTATGCTCACATATACTAATTCAGACGTGCTTATGTATTGGTGTGTGTGCGTGTGTATGTGTATATACATATATAGAACATTGCATTTGAAATATGTATATGCATGCTTGTGTGCATGTGTGGGTCGACTATTAGTCAACGACAACAACTACAACTACAACTACAACAATAACAACAACTATAACACATACTACAACAATTCAAAAAACATTTCACACCACTTTTGTAGTCACTCCCCTCTAATTCCAGTAAACCAAACGTCAGCTGTGCTTAAACTAATATTGTTTTATTTTTCTTTTTTTTTTTTTTTTTTCTTTCTTCTTTTTCTTGAAGAACGCAATGCAAGGCAAGGCGTGTGGGTGCGAGTGAACGTAAAGCGGAAATCTCACCTTGGCTACTTCAATATGATCGTCGATTTGTATGCGATGCACAAACGGATTGATATAGCTATAGCCCTTGGATGCCCAGCTGTCCTCCTCGGAATCGCGCTTGGACATGTTGTTGCTGATGCTGATGCGATTGTTGGGCAATGCCCTGCTGTTGCTGCTGTCGGTTCTGCTGCTGTTGTTGTCATTGTCATTCTCCAGGCTTTCCCCATCATTCGATGCAGGAGCAGCGTGGGGAGAGCGGCGTCGTTTAATTGAGGACGTTGTCATTGTTCGCACTTGCACTTCACTTGCTAATCACTCTTTTGCAAAATATTGTTGTTTGACTTTTCACGGACTGGTGTATTTAGTGTGTGGCGCAAAAAAAAAAAACAACAACCAGCACCTCCCGCTCTTCCGTTTCTTTTTGCGTTGCCAGCTAACTGAAGTGCTGGTCAACTGGGCAAAACAGTGTTAGGTAAACTAAATTATATCGATACAATAGTCGATAGCTCGATAGTTATCGCACGGGCAAGCAACCATATTGCCACAACTTCAAAAACTAAGCATGTCTGGCAGCACTCGAGTCGTTGCCACACTTTAAACCGGATTCGTTTTCAAATTCAAAGAGTCCGTTGCTGTGAACAGCATTGAAGTATTGCTTTGAGATAAGCCATATACAATTCCAAGCTTTATACATTACATCCGTATGTACGAACCTATATATATTTATGTAGATTATGTTGACATAGGATAGAGCGCCCTTCGCCTCTTCGGCTTTTTAATCACCCGGCAGTTCACGGCCTTGCCTAATCTCGCGACTAACTCGTGGCACATGTGTCTAAAACGTGCTGTTGAAATCCAAACTTGCTCAAGGTGACTGTTTACCGTTGACTCCGACGATTATTTGGGCTTGATGATAAGGCTTTAAAGCTGTGTGCTTTAGAGCTGGCTTTTAAAAAATGTAAGCCAACCTGTTTCTGTTATACATGCATAAGTAGTACTTGAACAAATATCACACATACCACATGCAAAACAGGTTTCCTCTCTCACTCTCTTTGCCTTACTCGCTCTATTTTGGTCTCTAGACGCCAACCATTGTTATGACAGTGGCTCTGCTGGGGGCTGAAGGGCACAGACGGTGTGTGGCTCATCGCAGAACTCTTACTGTTATACGCGAGCGTGCGTTTGACCTTGCCGAAGTTTAAAGGCTGATGCAATCGGAGTTTGGGGCGAATCGCCGACGAATTCATGCGCTGTGAAATTGGCGCTACTTCCCGGCAACTGGTTTGGCCAAATTATAAGTAATTAAAACTAAATTAAAATTATCAGCTTGACAAAAAATAAAACAATGATACAATAGCTGCCACGCCCCTTTTGACATTATATTACAGGCACTGGCATGCCGCACTCATATTTATACATATGTATATATTTTTCTATTTTTTCTATATTTATTTTTAACAATTTTTGATAGTTTTGTATTTGAGCTGTGGTATTTAGCTTGTTTTCTTTTCTTTCTTTTTTGTGTATTTTATTTGCTAATGATTTGTGGCCTGCCAGTTTTTTATATTAGCCATTTTTTGCGCGGACCAGCGCTGACTGCGTGGGAGACAGTCTCAGCAGCGTCACGTGAAATCGCTTTGAGTTGCCAAAAATCTGAATATTATAATTAATGAGTTTGTTCAGCCAGAGGCAGAGAGTTAGAAAGATCGAAGGCCTTTCGTTATTCATCTTTCATTCTTCTTTCGTCTACTCGACATTCAAAAATATTCCGTTAGGTGCCGCTGCATTAACCCCTGGGCTTAGACGAGTTTCACAAATTTTACCATTTACGACGTCATCATCATTGACGTCACACCAGGGTCTGCGCGTGGCAGAAAATACAACAACAAAATGTAATATAAGAGCGCACGATAAAAAATCAATTATTCTGTATGTACAACGCACGCACACACCCACAAATATATGTATACATGTATGTGCATATGCAGACATGCATACATATGTATTACAGTTACACACACACACACACACACACACACACACACAAACACAAACACACGCACACGTAGGCGGCAGAGACGATGAGCAAGCGCAAAACGACGCGACCAACCTCCACACACAAACACATGCACGTAGCCAATGTGTATATGTATGTAGGCGCATGTGTCTGCCTGTATGTGTGTATACAACGGGGCGAGCCCCCAAATCTGGATCCCCATTGCGGACAACAAATAACTTTACTGAGCAGCAGCAACAGCAGCGACAACGGCGGCCAGCGGCAGAGGCAGAGGCAGAGGCAGTGGCAGCGACTGCATTGCTTGCATTGCATTGCCAACAGCAAACGGACGCCACAAGGAGAGAGCAAAGATAAACAACTCTAATTTTAGTTGTCTGTGGCGGTTATTAAGTGGTTCGCGGAACTCTTGAATGATTGAGTTCGGTTCAGTTCAGTTGGTTCGCAAAGAGTTCGAGTCTTTGCCTTTACAGCATCATGCGTTGCGAGCCGGTTTCAATGAACAGAAACAGGATTTCGTCACATTATTATAAAATTACAGTTAATGCAGTCAAGTGTCTTGCAGTGGGGCTGCTCTCGCCTTCTCCCATATGTACATATGTATGTATGTATGTACATACAATCACACAAGTTGGCAAAGTACGGGTGCATGGCACATACATACATACATATCAATGTATGTGCATATGTATGGATGCATGTTATCGTCTAATTTTTATTACACACATACATGTACAATTCTGCTTGACTTTACATTGTATATGACCTACACAGTAGACCCGTCCAGCCCCTGTGTCTAGGCACAGACGACGCCCACCAAATTTTGTCGTCGTTTGAGTTTTGTATTTCATTTTTTCTAAGCAATTTCCGTTAGCCAGATAAGAAAGCAATTGGTAATGTATGTATGTATGTATGTATGTACAATATGTATTTGTATTTGAAAAGATAAAAAATTTTATAATTTTGCTGGTGGTTCACAACAATAATGTGAAACCCACACACACACAGACATCTACATACATATGCATGTACATATGTATGTATGCTGTTTTGTTAATGCTCCAAGCCATTTGTTTTCAATTTAAGCGTATATGTATGTATGTATGTACTTATGAATGTATGTATGTATCATGTTGTTTAGTTTTGCCAAGAAACAAGTTGAAAAAAAGACACGTGCGAACCTGTCGCGCTTAGTGTGTGAATTTGATTATATGCATGACACACACACACTCACACGCATACACACAAATATGTGGGCGTGTGTCTGCTGCGCAAATATATGTACACATGTGTGTATGAGCATATTTATGTAAGTGCATAGCATGTGGGCATATGCATCTGTGTACGCTCGCATGTGTGCGTGTCAATTACGCCTACCAGCACTCACACAGCCAAAGACTCGGCTCACACGATCACGTCATTACTGTTGTTGCAATTCATGCGAGTGCCGTTGCAATAGCAAAAACCACATTGCGACAGCCGAGCCTCTTTTAACAATAACAACATGCAAACTACCCTACAATACATGCATACATATGTATATACATGCATATGTATGTAAGTATACATAGGCATTTGATAAGCACGTATGTATGCATGTACACACGCACACACACACACATGTATAGCACATGTTTAAGTGTTCTCGGTAAGCAGAAATGTGTCATACCCCAAGTCTAAAAATCAAAGAGCAAGAAATAATAAGAGTAACAAGCATTACTAAAAAAAACAAAAACAACAAAAAAAAAAAAGTAAGTTCCTTTGAACTAGGTGAGCGCAAACGTCAAGCGAGCGGCAGCGAAAGGCTAGGGAAATGTTTGTTGAGCTCCATAGCAAGAGAAATAGGAAGAGAGGGTAAGTGAGCTGCTGAGTGAAGTTGCCAATAAAAAGGCACAGTCGGTGGGTAAGGCAATGCGTTTCAGAGTGCTGTTGGAACGTGCGAACGTCAACGACGGCACGTAAGATATAGAAGCATGTACACAAGCAATGTGTATGTGTGCATGTGTGCAAACACACGCACATCTGTACGTATGCATGTATGTATGTACATACATACATGCCTGTGCATACAAACATCTGTACATGCAATGGCAGTGGAGGCTACCACCAACAACGGAAAGTGCGAGACGAGCCCCACGAACGCCAAAAGCAGGCAACGACCATCAACAAAAAATTCCATGCCGTGTGCTTATATGTATGTATGTGTGTATGAGTACGCATACATTTACACATACAGTCAAGGAGAAAACAAAGAGAGCCTGCTCTGGATGGCAGCGAGCAGCTATGCAAACTTGTTCTTGTAAACTGAGCATAAACTGTTATACGCGGCAGCGGCAGTAGTAACAAAGCGAAATGAAAATACAAAAAAGAGTCGCAGAAATATGTATTTGAGAATCGTCAGTCTATACCGACATTTGAATAACCTGCAAATGCTTAAACTATATTCAAATGCTAGCAGCAATATATTATTAATACAAACACATACACAAGTATCTACATTTGTATGTGCATTCATTGACTCTGAATTTAACGAATTTACAAATATCAATGAATATGACAGATATGATATGCACAAGCTATTCAGGGCTTGCCAATAAGCCGAGCGAGCGTATAGTGTGCAATGGCTTGCTGACGATGGCAAAATGTGTGCGACACACACCTGACCGCTCTCCCGCTCCGTCTTTCAGTGAGAGCAGAGGTGCTCTGCCCGCAACGTTGGCCGCCTCTAAATTGTATGTACGTACAACAGCCATTCATGAAGCGCCTACTAGGCACAACATGTTCTCTCTTGCTCTCTATGTGTGTATGTATGTTTTTGTGCGCTCATTCTCTCGCTCTCTCGCTCAATACGCACACTAGCGAACACGATATTGTATCTTGAACGCAGGCCCAGCAGAAAATGCTGCCCTCTCCAATACGAATTGTCAATTTTGACCTTCAAGGTTCCTTCAAAGTACACTACGTACACACACCATACACATACATATATGGACACACACACTCACACACAGAGGCAAACACAAACGACGCTGACGTTGACGGCGACAGCGCACGCTCGACGCGTCGGTAGCAGCAGCGTAAACCAACTGGCAGAGCTTCACGGAGAATAATTCCGTAACAAACGTTTCACAGCAGTGGACGCGTGCAGCGGACGAAAATAAAGCGGCCGAGACAAAAGAAAAAAGTATTTCAGAAAAGCAACGCAAAGTCAACTAAAAGCGAAAATCGCAAACAAATAAAAAGAAACAAAATTTAAATAACTAATTCAAGCAAACAAAGACAATAATCTCGCACAAAACTAGCAAAAAACAAGGCGGCCAACAAAAAATAAAGAAAAGATAAAATAAAAAGAATACGAAAAACAAGCGAAAAAAAAAAACGCGAACTAAACGCGCGTGCACAAAAATACAAGTTTCTGTAATAAATATATATAGTATATATATTTTTTTTTTTGGTGCCAGTGCCTGTGACTGCCGTTAGGCGACTGCCAAAACTAAAGCCAAGAGCTAAAGCGAAAGCGAAATCAAAAGGAACAGCAATTACAACGACATGGACCAAGAGCAGCAGCAGCTGAATGGCGCGATGCGCAGCGTTTCTATAAATAGCAACGGACTAGCCACAAAACTGAATGGCCACAACGGCTGCAAAGGCACCGACGAAACGGACAATGTAAGAGTGCAGCCCACGGCGACGGCGGCGGCGGCGGCGGCGGCGAGCGGCGTCAGCTTCACTATCGGCAGCGAAACGAGTAAAGCGACAAATGCAGCGAATTCGGCGACTGCGGCGACCGCGGCGACAGCGAACGCAAATGCAAATGCAATTCAAATACAAACATCAGCAGCTGGTGCGAGTGCAGCGGAAAAAAAGAAAATGGTGCACGAGTTATGTCAGCAGCTGTTGCTAACCGATGAGCAGGTGCAGGAGCTGTGCTATCGCATACTGCACGAGGTGAGGCGCGGCCTGGCGAAGGACACGCACGCCAAGGCGAATGTCAAGTGTTTCGTTACCTACGTCCAGGATCTGCCCAATGGCAATGAGCGCGGCAAGTTCCTGGCCCTCGATCTGGGCGGCACCAATTTCCGTGTGCTTCTCATCCACCTGCAGGAGAACAACGACTTCCAGATGGAGTCGCGCATCTATGCGATACCGCAGCACATCATGATCGGCTCCGGCCGTCAGCTGTTCGATCATATTGCCGAATGCTTGTCCAATTTTATGGCCGAGCATAATGTGTACTCGGAGCGCCTACCTCTGGGATTCACGTTCTCGTTCCCCCTGCGCCAGCTGGGCCTGACCAAGGGCCTGCTCGAGACCTGGACAAAGGGCTTCGACTGTGCCGGCGTTGTCAACGAGGATGTCGTCCAGCTGCTCAAGGATGCGATCGCGCGCCGCGGCGACGTACAAATCGATGTCTGTGCCATACTCAACGACACGACGGGCACTCTGATGAGCTGCGCCTGGAAGAACCACAACTGCAAGATCGGCCTCATCGTCGGCACCGGCTCCAATGCCTGCTACGTGGAAAAGGTCGAGGAGGCCGAGCTCTTCGACATGGCCGACAATAACAAGCCGCACGTTCTCATCAACACGGAGTGGGGCGCGTTCGGTGACAATGGAGCACTCGACTTTGTGCGCACCGAATTCGACAATGACATCGACAGCCACAGCATCAATCCCGGCAAGCAGACGTTCGAGAAGATGATCTCGGGCATGTACATGGGCGAGCTGGTGCGCCTGGTGCTGGCCAAGATGACACAGAACGGCGTCCTCTTCAATGGCCAGGGATCGGAGGTGCTGTTCACGCGCGGCCTCTTCTTCACCAAGTACGTGAGCGAAATCGAGGCCGATGAGCCCGGAACATACACCAACTGCCGCCTGGTGCTGGAGGAGCTGGGCCTCTCCAATGCCACCGATGGTGACTGCGCCAACGTCCGCTACATCTGCGAGTGCGTCTCGAAGCGAGCGGCCCACCTCGTCTCCGCGGGCATCGCCACGCTGATCAACAAAATGGACGAGCCCCACGTGACGGTCGGCGTCGATGGCAGCGTCTACCGTTTCCATCCCAAGTTCCACAATCTGATGGTGGAGAAGATATCGCAGCTGATCAAGCCCGGCATCACCTTCGATCTGATGCTCTCCGAGGACGGATCTGGACGCGGTGCGGCGCTGGTGGCGGCGGTTGCCTGTCGAGAGGACATACTCAATAGCAAGTAAACGGTTGGCAATCGCAGTCGCAATAGCAATCGCAATCGTTATTGTAATTGTAATCGTTATCGTTATCGTAATCGGAATCGGCGTCGCAGTTGCTAAACTAAGCAAAAACCAATCAATTGAGTTCGAATTCGATCAATTTTCGAATTTCGAATTACAAATTCTTAAGGCGAAAAATGAGTTAGTTTCCTTTTGCCGCCGCTGCGGAGGCGCCACTCGCTGCCGCCAGGTAGCGCCAACGCGGGGCGCTTAGTATTTAAATTAGGCAAGTTCTTAGACAAAAACAAAAAACAAAAGAGAGAAAATGCGCTAAAATAATGGAATGTGTATGCTTTAGCAATTGTTCTTAAATTCAGTTCATTCATTATTTTTGTTTGTTTTTTTCTTTTTTGTTACATTGTTTTAGTAACTGTAGTTTTGCTTTATCTCTTTCTACACCTATCTCTCTATATTAATTAAATAAATTATTTGTATGTTTAATTTATTTGGTTGAATAATCGATTCTCGATTTTGTATAAACAAAAAAGAACAACAACAATTGTTATATATTTTACAATACACCCACATACACATACGCATATTTATACACCTATAAGATATATAATTTAATATATCGGGCAATTTCTTATTAAAATGGCAAAACAAATTCAAAAAACAAAAAAATCAAACATTTTTTCGATTACGAATTGGCAAATCCTTAAGCAAAATTTAATCGAATGCTAAGCTAGAATGAGGAGAGTAGGCAAAAAAGAAAGAAAGAACAAAAAAACGTGTAGCGCACTTTCATGCGCCGCCAAAAAGTGTTATACTGTGCTACAAGCATCATCATATCCTAAACCAGGACAAGACAAAATGGAAACTAGAAAATCGCACGTTGTTTATAAAAACTACTAATTAAACACTAAAAGAAAAAAAAAAAAACAAAAACAAAAAACGTAAAAAATATGGAAAAAGAAACACAGAAAGGAATGTGTTTTGTAATTGTAAATGTTTATAACTAGCAAATATATATATTGTGAAGCGTTATATGATAATACATACAGCTTATTTAGCCACTATTTCGATGTATTTTTTGTCTTTCTTTAGTTGATTTTTTTTTTTTTTTTTGACTATCTTATAAGCAGCTAAACAATTCTTTTTATATTGTTTCAATATATAAGCAAACTGTTGCTACATATATATGTATATAAATTTATTTATATGTGTATATGTAGCTGAGCGTTATATATGTATATACATATATATATCTATATGTATATATATATGTATATGTCTAGTTTAGTGCTTAATTATTATGTAGTTTTAAATGTTATGAACGATGAAAAAAGGTACCTTAAAGAGTCCTAAATATATACGAGACAACCTTATATACATTTACGAAAAAAATGAGAAAGAAAAGAAAAAACACACACACACACATACACCCACATAAATAAAATATAAACACAATTGATAATTTTTCTGCTAGCTGCAAGCGTAAATTTTATTTTGGTTTCTTTTTCTGCAATCTTTTCAGTGGTATTTTTTTTTTTTCATTTGTTGCAATTTTTCTCCACATGTTTGTTGGTATTTTAAGGCGTATTTTGGCAACTGCGCGCAGGCGACGCATTGCATGTTAAAAATAATTACAAATGAAGAAGAAATGAATAAGAGAAGAAAAACAAAAAATCAAAGAATATAATCAATTTTTTTTGCCATGTATTTTTAATAAACTTAGCCAAGCAAAGCAAAACTACAACACAACTCACTGTTGAGAGAAAAAAAAAAAAAAAACGAAAATTAAGCAAAAATCGTGTTTATATTTTTCATGAAAATGTTAAAAATTTGAACAAAATTATCCCTGATAATGATAATGAATGACTAATCGATTAATGGATACAGGATCGATACAAGTGCGGCGCAAGCAGAGTGCGACAAAGACCCAAGTTGAAGAAATTTTATTGTTAAGCGACACTCAAACAGAGAGAAACTCACATAAGCACACACACATACACATACAAAGCCACAGTGTAAGGGGAATATTTTAACAGCTGAACAGAATTTAGCGGGCAAAGAACAACAAGTGAAACAGATATGACAAAATGATTTGGAAACAAAAACAATAAAAATGATAAAAAAAAAAACAAGCTGAGAAACAAGCGAAAACGAAACCATTTGTCTCTTTCTCGCAGGCACGTCTTGCTAGCTGCAACAGGGTGCGAAAGGAGAGCCACACACGCACATGCAAGTGCAAGAGCTTGCACTCAACAGGAGAGTTCGCTCTTTGGCTAGCTGTCAAGGAAAGAGTGGTGGAAGAGGGAGAGAGAGAGAGAGAGATGAATGGACGCACTGGAAAGCGAAATTGTCACGTGCCATCGCTGGAAGATCACATGACGCAATTGTATAAATTTTATTTTTGTTTCGTCTGCCAGTTGTTGAACGCCGGCTCTCTGGGCGAAGCCGCCGCATCGATACTAATTGATGAAACATTGACGAGAATAGCAACTGCTATGTTATGGCTATTAATGCAGCCTACATATAGGAAATTAAACACCAACAATTGCAATGACTGTCGCCTTAGTCACAAGCCGAACTCGACTGGCCCAATTAAGAATGATTTCAATTCGTTACGTTTCATTTCGTTTGACGCATTTGAATTGCACCCGATCGATCCGATTGACGCCTCGCAGACAATCGATCGAGCTGAGTTGCCTTTGTGGCGCATTGTTCCAGCGGGCGGGAAGTTTGAGTACTCAAACAAATTCCGGTCGCAGCCTCCTCCACCCCTCACCGCCCACTCTTGTATAGAGCCCGGAACATTTATTGCCAGACACCTCTCAAATAGATTGATTTACTGTTGTTTGATTTGTTGTTCATAAATATTTGTTATATTGGTAACTATGTACATATTATGTGTATATCTACAGTGGGTGTTGTAAGTTTGTGGCAAATAACTATATGCATATACATACATACATATGTGTATACATGTATAGGAGGTGATCTTATCGTTTCAATATCAGAAATAAAATTTATATATGTACATACATGCATATGTATTATTAACATTTAAACCTCGTTATACTGCTATCATTTGTATCTCTATTGGAAATCTTAGCTAGCTTTATTACAGTCGTATCGATACTTTTGCAACCGCAAGCTGGGAACTTTCGCAAGTTCCGCGAAAGTTGTTTTTATTAAAATTGCCAGCCATATGTAAATTCCCTGACCCAGTCACCAGTCCCCGATCTCCGATCCCCGATACCCGATACCCGATTCACAATCCACGATCCCCTCTCTACGGCGCTGGACTGCACTGGTATAAATGTATGTATGTATGTACATAGAGACCACACGTACAGACTTATATATAGAATGCATTGCACAGATCACGTTTAAAAGGCTGGCGAGTCATTTCAGTGGGAGCGCAATAAAAAATTCAAATGCAAATCGTAATATGACTATGAATGTGGATTGCGAGTGTGAATGCGCGCTGTTTCGCAATGTAATATGTGATTTGTGGATTATGGATGCGATACTCGATGTGGATTGTGGATTAAGGATGTGGCTTCGTGAATTAGAAATATGTGGGCTCTAAGTGTGGACTGTGGAAGGATATTGCACATTGTGGGGATTGGGAAGTGAATTGTGGAAATAAAATGGTAGTGGCTGTATATATGCAAATAATTAAAAAACATTTTATTTTAATATTAATTCTGGATATTGAGTTCGGGATTTATTCAGTGGAAAAGTCGATTGTGGAAGCGCAAGTAGCTTTACTTTTGTGCGAAACCTATGACGCGACTCTTGGGATTTTTCCATTTATTAAATTTTTTGTTCATATATACATACATATTTATATTTATATATTTGTATAAATAGATTAGGTCCAAACTTATGTGGATGATATACATATATGACAAATGATGGGCAAACTGTGCACAGATTGAGGTACAAAATACCAGGCAAAAAGCGTTCACTTGATGAGCTAATGAGATATTGATAATGACTCTGGGCTACGGAATTTTAAATGCTTGATGCCTGATGCCTACATTCGACTAGCGCATACCCTGTAAAAGTGTAGCGCCCTAGCTACGTAAATTCAGTAAATAATTTGCATTCAAAAAACACGTAATATACATATGTACATACATATGTATGTATGTATAATGCAGAACTGATTTCAGACATTTGAATTCGCAGTTTGCATTTCCTTGTTGTTTTTTTTTTTTTTTTTTTTAACCATTTTTATAAGCATAGAGCATTTAAAATACGAAAGAAGACAACATATGTATGTATGTATGTCTAAAATATCCATACAAATCTCGACACGAGCATAAAATGTTTATGGGCTATGTATGTATGTATGTACATCTATACATACATACATATGTACATATATAAAAACATTATAATGTATGTCTGTTGGAGATATAGACATCTATGTATGTATGTATATAATCCTTCCCCGATCGCCTGCGTCAGTGGGCAGCCAGCAGCCCGTGGACAGGCCGCAGAAACTATTTATCAGCAAATACTTTGACATTTTGTTATTTCGTTATGTCGCGATCTTGAGTTAATTTAGCGCCGATTTAGCAAATTTGTTTTCTGTGGGGTTTCGCACTTTACTTGTTGTTTTTGTGCGGCAATAAAATGAGGGAAAAGAGAAAACAAACAGTGTAAAAATAAATGTCTAAATTTAAAGAGCAATATTGTAGTTTTCATTTTTGTTTTTTAATTTTCATTATCGAGCATAGAATGAAAACAAAATACGCAATTAAGCTAACGGTTAGTGTAGAGCGGGCAGAGTGCAGAGCAAGCGGCTGAGATATTGTGAAGGGCGGACAAAGCGAACAGGCACGCCCACATGCAGTAACGCCTGGCCGTTTAATACGATGCCCACTTTGCAAATACCCTGCAGTTGGCATATACACATACGTACGTATGTACATATGTACGCTCTGATATAGAAATATCTGTCTATGCTTATTGCATGAATTGCATAAATTTGCACACTTTTTATACGAATTTAACACATGCGAATTGAATTTGACAAATTTGTGGCGATTGCCCACGCATGCTGTTCGGTTGAGTTGGCAACTCTGTTAGACGTTAGCGTTGGCAACTGCGCTGATCTCTTGTGGTCACTCTCTCTCATTATTGTGCTCTCTGTTTATCTTCCTTTTCGTGCTGGTTATGCAAATGCCAAGTGCAGTTCTTGAAAGTGTGAACATGTAAACGTAAGCGAATCATGTGAGTGCCAACAATATTGAAAACGTTGCACTTAATCATATGGCAAAGAGCGAAGGAGAGACGAAGAGAGAGTTGTTGTTATTATTCTTGTTGCTGTCAACCGTTTGACGGATGCAGACAACGCAAATTGAGATTTGAGTTGATAATTTAGTAAACAGTTAGCCGAGAGTAATTGGAAACTATTATTCGAACATGTTTGTAAATATGTACATACAAACATACATATGCTATACATATGCTATATATTCACCCATACATACATGTACAAATATACCCACATAAAACTTGTATTTAGCACGACAAAAATGACTAAAACATTTTTTTTTTCACCTGTTGCAGTCAAACTAATATGTAGCAAAGTGCAAGAGTGGGAAAGAGCACGGTAGCAGAGGACGAAGCAAATGTGAATGCCCAGTAGACAATTCGCATGGTGAATTGAACTTAATGTTCACGTTTTATTTGTACGTTGCAAAGCAGTAAAAAAAAACACATTTTAAATATATGTACATATGTATATATGGAAGACACATTTATAGATTTCTAGCTTAATCAGTATTAATTAAAAATATATTAGCTTTATATGCGTTTGTTCTTTGCTGGTATACAT